CTACTGCACCTCTCGAGGTTTTTAGGTGGAATATTTATTTAGCGGCCTAACGTTTCGACGTGGTCGTCTTCTTCAGAGGCCTAAACGCGTTTCGAGTTAAGGAGATGAACACTACCCCGTCAAGCGCCCAACCAACCCTAGCAGTTCCGATGATGTGTTCGGAACTCAACAAGCAAATCTTACAAAAGCTGTGTGATAGAATCGCCCGCCTTCCGCGTCGTTCTGTTCATGCGGTAGAGTCTTCAGCTCTGAGAAGACAATCTGGTGTTGGACCATCAAGCCAAATTTCTTCCAATGACCAGTCAAAAAAAGCAGATATTAGCCATAATTTGTCGCCCAGGACCCTGGAAACTGTTACCATTTTCAGTATATTTTTCAGTTATCAATCAGATCTGCACTCAGAATGGCGGTACCACAGACAGAGTCAGACTGCAGGCTCTTACCTCACACAATCACCGCAGGTTCGTTAACGCCTTTTTGTGCATTGAACCCATAATTCGCAGCAAAATGGTTGCACAGGTCTCGACTCGCTCGAGGAAAAGTGAGGAAGAATAACGGAAGAAGATTGCCTAAGGCCGCTAATATGATGAGATTGGTATGAATGGAGGCACTTTACGACCACTAATCATCACGAAAATACAAATGCGATTTCAGAAATACGGTTGTACTTTGGAGCAATCTGCAAGAGAATCTGCCAGGAGGTGTGTCAACTCACCGTACCCCTCACTTCCAGCCAACGTCAGGGAGAATATCGTTAAGTTCCGCAAAAGTCGAGCTAAAACTCGTGTCCAAGCCATGAAAGTCGTAAGTGATTTCGCCAATACTTGAAATTTCTTATGCATTTGAAGGCTATGTTCTACAATATTCAGTGAAGCAGTTCGCTCTGTGACTATTAGGACCCTCTAGCGCATTTGCTTCGAATCCCTGAGATGCTGTAGGTGTGGCTGATAACCTTATCCGAGGGTGCCAGGCGGCTGCCCTCCTATTGAAATACATTGGGATAACTGTAGTAATATCTTTGCCCAATACTTGGCAAGATGACAGTTCCAGCAAACTGAAATATCCTACGAATAACAGATCTTGGAGGCAGTTTGGCGACAGGAGGGCATTTTGCACTTTCGCTGTCAGGCCACATCATTGGTTACGGATTTTGGTCAAGTTTTTTTTCCAATTCAGCAATTTCCCCGGAATTTCCCTACATTTTCCCCAGTTTTTCAAAAAATACAGTGCATATGAAACAAGGGAACCCATGTCAATTCACAACCTCTCTCAGAAGGACAGAGCCGAAATACGGTCCCCACCTTTATACTGTCTACGAAACAAGGAAAATCAACTATCGAAAAAAAGTTCCAGACCGAATGCGACCCCCCCCCCTCAGCATCATATGCGACCCCAACCGTGTTGGGGCATGCTCAGAAACGATGTTCCCTGTTCGCTTCTTCACTAAATCCGTTCACAAGTACAATTCTGTCTGAAGCCTGCCAAGTCTTGTAAGCTCGTGAAACAGCACATTAAATGAATTTCGTCATGATTATGCAGGAGTTGACAGGTACTGTTTATAGGAGTTGAGGCAAAAAAACACAAGAGAAGCAAAAGTACAAATGCCCCCGCTCGCCGAACTGCCGCCCTTCCTGCAGCCATAAATGGAGTCCTGCCTGTCGCGTGCTCGGGAATGTGAAGCACGTGGTGGGATAACCTCGCGGTCCAAAGGTGCGAAACAAGGGCTTGACGAACATGAGGTACTCGCTGTACCCGCCCCCTGAGGGGGGGATCACTCGGTTTGCAATCAGAGGCGGGAAGGTGGCCGCGTGTCCGGTCGTCGCCCCTTTGGCTGTGTCTATGCAAATCGTGCCTTCGATTCTTGTCCACTGGCCGTGGAAGGGAAAATTCTATTCTCGGGGGGTTGTCTCCCAAAATGTCTCTGTGTCGTGGCCATCTGCGGCAGCTGCTTATTGGTGTGAATTAGCCTGTCGCAGTTATGGTAAAAATTCTGCTGGTATATTTGAAAAAAAGGAAGGTCCGTACGCCGTCTGATGTGGCGGCTACTGCTATCTTAGTAGGACATGTTCGGTTCGTGACCACTGTTATCATGTGTTTTGCGCAATACAGAATTGCTAGTTGACTTGAACAGGCGAAAAAGGATCACGAGCTATATTCAATATAATCTAACAATTAGCCCCTGTCCATGCCCCCGGAAGTAGTGTAACGCAGTGGTAAGGAGGCGATATATTTCCACTTTTTATACTATTTTCAGGCTGCAAGACATTGGTGGAGGCAAGTGCGTAAACGAGGCAGCGTTGGAAACAGGGTCACGTTCAGATCACATCACCAAGGAAGGCCCATCTCTTGGTTCACTCTTGTAAGTTTTTTACAAAGAAGCACTGATGAGAAACTGGAAAACGCCAAAAACCTTTTCATTTTTCATTCGATGACGATTGTGGTGGCTATTGTCATCCTTTGGACATAGACAGCTGGAAATTTCAAAAATTACAGATGGCTTGGGCAAATACGAGAAGGGTTGGCTGTTATGTCAAGTCATGTAATGACGGTCACTGGACAGTAGCGTGTCACTATTATCCCGGGTATTTTTTACCGAATTTGTCTACTTTTCAGCATCTGTTCACTTTTTTTTCGATTTCAGGGGCAACATCGTTGGGGCTACTCTCTACAACCAGGGTAGACCATGCTCACAGTGCCCTACTGGATCGTTCTGTAATAGAAGAAAACTCTGCGCTGTACCATAATTGCTTGTTTAGCTGGGTAATGTGATGTGTAATCTGTAGTTTATCTTGTGCTATTTTTATTATAGTGTGTAGTAAATAACCTAATAAATAATTGAATAATCCAGTTTAGCCCACTCACGGATGCTAGCGATTCCACAAATTCTTAGGGAGGTTCTTACCATGCTGTAGACTTTTATCACAAGAATGCTGAGTTGTGGGCAAAAGTCGTGCCCCAGGCGGGAGTCGAACCCGCACCTCACGCTTTCCGGGCGAGTGCGCTATCCGTTACGCCACCAGGGCCGCTTTTACCCTCTCAGCTTAACGGCTTTTATGCCGTAGCCTTACAGCACTCGTTTAACTTGGTGAGCCGGTCAGCCGTAATCGTTAGATATCGATACTTTACGTCTCATTACATTGCAGTAGAGGTGAAGCCCCAGCGACCCAGGTAACGGTAGAAACTAGGAAATCTCTATTTTTCACTCCATCGTGACTAAAGAGAAAAAATCGTTTCGGGTCTGCTCAGCAGACGTAGAACTATGGGGAACAAACAGTACATAATAGAGAAACATTTTGAAAGATGTCGATCCGCCGGAGAAAACTGGAGGTCATGACAAGCTGATAAGTTTTTGTATTCTGACAGCGCGATCAAGTTCTCTTCTGAAGAGAACTCGTGGAGAATGACTGTGAACGAGCCAATATCCTCGCAGTTCCCAGCTCCAAGAGTACTTGTAAGCCCTCCTTTTCACTGGATTTTGGTGAATCCTACTCTCACTGACATTAACTGCTGAGAAGGAACTTCTTCATGGGTACTGCATTATGTTGCTTGAGCGGTCTCCTCGTGTACAGCTGTACAGCTTGTGACAGCGCTCGTCTGGATTTCGGACTGCAAAGCAGCCTTGGAACCTGCCAACTGATTACTTCGGACGTGCTCCTAACTCATCGTGATCCAAAACTACCAATAATCGTCCCAGCCGCCGCCCGAGACATGGACTTGGAACAGTGAATTCCTACCGGTATGGACTCATCAGAAAACGTTACCTTTCACGCCAGCAGAACATTCAGCCATTTGAAAGTAACGACAATGCCAAAGCAGTTGCTAAGCATAGGGCCCAGCACAGATAGGTGGAAAGGAAAAGGAAAGGCCAACTAGACTGGATGCAGCGCATAACCCCACTAGGGCCGCAGTTCAGATTTCCTGATTCGTACCCCCAACAGACACCACCCGATTTTCGATGGAAGTGAGTTGTGTAGAAACGCACCCCCAGTGGCTCGATGAATGCCATTTCGACACCAATCTACTCTGATTTAATTGTGGAGTAGCGTCCATTCTCGTTCGAAACACCATCAGTATCTCTTCAGATATTAGTTCTCTGCTGTAAGGATAGGGTGCAGTGTAAGATGGTACTAGTTAACCAGTCGCAATGTTCCTGACCGAACCTCGGGACCCCTCCTGTTCCGCCTAGGCACGCCTCACATCCTTCCAAGGTCGGTCAGCTGGTGTTCGACTTACCGAAACTGTTTAGCTTCTCCAAAAAGCCTGCAACGTTGACCTAGACATACGTCTCTGGTTCCTTAAAGGCAGTTGGCACGATGATTTGGTGCTCGGCCTAAAATGCTAGTAGGGCGCTATAGTGGGGAAATGGCGAAAGAACGGAGTGAAACGGTCAAAATCCTGCGAAGAAAGAGCCTCCGTTTTCAATGTGTTTTAAAAATCAAGTTTGGGACGAGTTTTGCCGCCGTTCGGTTAGCGTATCCCTTGCTTGCGTCATATTAGCGTATCTGGCCGAAGCGTACTCTGCAGTTGTGCGCGGCGTGCTGATTGTGCACCCATATACGTCTGTACCTGTTCACATGCGCCAGCGAACTCCGTAAGAAAGCATGCGGCGCTTGAGTGACTCACAGTCCCTCGTTGCTTCATAATTTGCTTAGCAAATGAATCAATTCGAGCGCGAGGAACGGTCGTCCATTTGTGGGCGGGCGGGCGTGGCGGGCGTTTGGGTCGGTATGTTGTGGCTTGATAGGGCCCTTATAAGGGCACCTCCCTTGGAAAAGGCATCATGCAGCGCCTGCTCAAGTTCTCGGAGTTCCGTCCTGCCAAGCGTATTGATCTTACTCCTCTTGGGGGATTTATCGTGCCAGCTGCGTTTAAAGGCAGACGGCACAGTAAACCGACAAGGCGTACAGGGTCGATACATCTCGCACGAAAGAATGTTGTGCCTAGCAGGCGCTGGGTGGCGTCTTTCTAACCAAAAACACTCTTATAGCGCCTAACCAAGGTGCAACATGCCGACCCAGACACCCACCGCAACCGCCCGCCCACAAATGGCCGCACAGCCACATTGACGCCGGAACTCTTGTCGCTTCATTGATGCAGTGCAATCGATATGAAGCGTTGCTACAAGGTGACATGAGTACAGTCGTGCAGCCATATCTATCAAAGCGATCGCTGGCACGATGCAAACGGGAAATTCGTGCAAAAATACTCGTCCAGTGCTGTGCAGAACGAAGTTTTCCGCAGGCTTGTTCGTTTAGCACCGCTTTTCGTCATTTTCCCCTCACTATATAACATTCCCCCTACTATTTTTGCGCAAGTACCGAAATGTCGTGCCTTAGGCCTATCATTTAAAAAACAGGGAACCGTAATAATGAACGTTTTCTCTCAATTCTGAAGAGAAGTTGGATGTCTGGCGCACCCGGGAAAAGCGTTGGCAAATGTGAACAGCTTTCCTTTTATCCAGTGTACCCTAGGGATGGTCCAGGTGATGGCCGGACAAGGCCTCCTAACAGGTCTCTGCCTCAAAGCATTATGTGCAAAATTCAACAGAAATCAACAAACTTTAATTGTTAGACGATAAAAGAACAAATAAAACATCACATTAAACGCAACCAGACTATTAGATACATGTAATTATACGCGAGTTTGGAAAGGGTGGTGATGGTGGAGAAGAAAAGATTCGCATGAGGAGCACACTTTCCTTTGGCGCTAAAATCTTGACTACATAAAACTACTACGTCTTATACCAGTAGGGCTCATATATCACGCAGCTCTCTTATCAGCTATATATCACTCAATCAGGCTTGATTACACGACAAGAAAACAAAGTTCACGAAAGGCTAATATTGAACTTTGGGAGGAAACAACACCGCATTTGTTTCGAATATATCTCAAACAACAGCACAATTTTTTTTGGAAAATGGTATCAACAAGACCGGATGGCGGTATGGCTTATGGGACCCAACTGGGTCAAAACCGACATGAGCACCAGTCTACCAACGAATTTTGGAAGTCGGAAATCGGAAGCTTATTGCTCCTGTCAGTTTGAAAACACACCATGCAGTCCGATATAACTGCTTGTAACAACTACAAACAAATAAATATTTCTTTAAAAATTGTACTCAATAAAATTCGAGTGGAATATCGTGTGCTTCATCTTAATATACAACTGATAACGACGAATTCAACATGATAACACTGATATTATCGCCTGATATTCATCGCTACCGATTATCATATGACGATGAGCGTTTGCGAGCAGAACGGCTAGGATACATTGCTGTGGAGTGCTTATGAGGGCAGATAACTCATGAATAAGACTAGTATTCACAACAAACAAAACAATTCTGTACAGCCAAACATTCTGTGAAACCAGAACATGTCATATGGACGAGTTGTCCTGTCTCAGTGACGGTGAAACTCGTACGTGCTTTACATTCGGAAGCCAAAAGCTTCAATAAACTGCACAATGAAGTCTTCCTTATCGCCCGAAAGAGGTTCGTTATCGAACGTGTCACATCGCTGTGATCGACCATGGTTAAGGTCAGCTGAAATGAAGCATTCAAGGCTATTGAAGGGGCTGATGTAAGGCAGAGTTCAGACTTCGCGATGACGCGTCAACGCGCTGTAATGCGCTGCAACGCGCTACAACTGCAACAGCGCTCCAGTCTCATAGACGGAGATGCTAAAGACGAACGGGAATCGATCATCGCCGCTCTAGCGGCCAAAGCCGATCAATACCAGACCGTGATCAAGCAACGCTTATCCTCTAGTTCCCTATACTCTCTCAATACACAAAGCGGCGCCGACCGATTCCCGGCTGATCCCCCGGCTGCGTTTGCGTTCGCCTCCATAGGATGGCACCACCGTTGCGATCGCAGCGCGTTGCAGCGCGCCGACGCGCATCATGCCGAAGTCTGAACGCACCCAATATGACATGACAGAAAACTCGTCCAACTTACCATCAAGCCACAGACCGTAATGCCCTCCACCAGCGCCGATCGACAGCGAATCCTTGGCGGCATTCACGAAAAACTGGATTCTCACACGGTCCAGCCGCATACTGCGCGCAACTCTTCTGAAAATCAGATATTCCCCAGGTTTCCAAGAAGTTTTTCCTCATGCAGCAACGTGAATCGCAGTATAAAAGCGGCCATGGGACCTACCTGGTTAATTGGCGCTTCGCGCAAGGCAATATCGCCACAGAAGGCAGGAATCGCCGGTGCCTGTGTAGTGTTCGCTAGGACGAATTGCACCCGACACAACTGCTCCAAAGACATGTTCACGTGTATCGCGGACGATCAGAAGCACGGGCGAGAGGTCTTCGTCGAACTCGATCATCTTCCTTCAAAGAGTCTTTCATAAG